TGAGACCATGCAAAAAATCTCGATTTTCCTAATTTGATTGCTTTAGAAAGATTTTTGCGTATGTATTTAGTTGCTCCAATATTATTAATTTTTATTTGGCTTTTGATTTGTTTCCATACTCTTGCGTAGAAAAAGTGTATTATGCAATTTGATCCATATTATTATATTTTTCAACTGATTTATTTGTGATTTTAAGCACTTAATATATATTTTTTTATGTGTACTTTTATCGCAATTACACTCGCTCCATTTATCATCTTTATGTATGTATTTATGTGTATGAATTTTAGTTATCATTGCTTTATTATTTAGAAATCAAAAAAAATAAATAAAAATGGACAACCGTCAAGAGTGTTTCCAACAAAGTTTTAATCGAAGTTAAACAACTCACTTCTATGTTTGTATTATAATTTCTTCCATAACTTAAATTATTATTAATATGTATGTATTTGTTTCATTATTACCGCATTCTACCATTCTATTCTACTTATATTATATGTATCTTCGTCTTAGCTTGGCTGGTGGTGATGACAGTCGTTATAGTCCATCTTCATCTGAACGCTCCATACCGGTGCCGCCACGTTTGAAGAAGCACAATTCGTCTAATTTAGTTGTGTCACCAACGCCGACACCAGCAATAACAACAATAATACCATCTGCACCTAATCCACCACCACCGCCGCCACCGCCATTGCCACCACATCTCGCAGTGGTCGGTACTCTGAATCGGGCACCACTTCCTCCACCTCGCAAATCTACTCCGAGGTTTGTTTACTTTATTGACCCATAAGCCATAAAAATAGAGCCGTCATACAATGCTTTTAAGTCCTTGTGAATTATTCACCTTTCTCGCACCACTTTCAAAGAGATCCAATGTGTGCACAAGAACTTTATTACATATTTACTCTTGCGGTTTGCTTTAGAAATCTAACTAAAAATGCTTTGTGTGCTCTGCTGCTTTGGTCACACAGCAAGCTAACTTACATAAGTCGACTGGCAATGTGCAGCGCCTCTTCCTAAGGATTAAATTAAAAGTGCACTAATCAAAAATTCGGCTTCCATTCTCCTCAATGCTTTAAAAGCGTTCTCAATGTTACAGTTGGTGTTCTCCCCTACTCCTGCTTTGCGCAATGTACATACTATAAAACAAAAAAAAAAAAACCTCAAATCTAAATACTCACTCTTTCGTTTTAACCAAAATTCTTTTCTGATTTTACAATTTCAGAATGCAAAAAACAAAATCTTCTACATGAACTTCGGTGTTCTTGTAGTTCGAATTCTTCACTGAAAAAATAAAATCAAAGATATTAATTTATGTCCTCAATTCCATTATCAAAATGTTAATAACAATTTTGTAAATTGTATCTATGTTATCAATAATGTAAACAATCTAAAATTTATGTTTCTTCGTACATACATACATACATTCATATACAATCATATTGCAAGTCATACATATAAACATAAATCGGCTTTTTTCGACATGCATACATCTGTAATTTAAGAATAGGAATTTAAAAATGGAAAAATTAGTAAATAAATCGTTTATCAGTATCAAAGCTTGGGTTGGCCAAAATGTAGAAAATGTTAATTGTTAAAAAACCGCAGTTTTTAACTAAGAAATAGAGAATATTTTTTTATAGATAGTTTCATAAGTTCATGAAAAATGCATAGCTGTATAAAGCAAATATAGCACATATATGTATACATATAATTTATTATGAAATATTTTATGAATTTTTTTATAAATAAAAAAAAAATACAGAAATTTTTGCTGCTATTAAGAGTTACCGAAAAAATCAGGTCAAAACAACAAAAAATTTGCGCTGATATAGGCCTATAAAAAAGAAGAATGCCTAGATTATAAGCATGAAATACGCTATAGAGCAAAAATGAATACTTAATTGTACTTGATGTACTTTTCAAGTCTATAAGCATAGCAGTAATGGGGCAAATCCAAAAGGAGGTAAACAGTTTCTCTTTATTTGCCGCTCGATTCCCTACAAAATAAAGAAGACATAGCAGGATAGCGTATTAAATAAGATATTCGAATATCCGAATATTCCAAAAACCGTATAGAACTCCCAGACCTGCTACATACAATTGTGGTCAGCTGATTAAGTCAAGTGACATTTTGACTAGTTTGGCTATTTGTTTATTTAATGTTTAATTTTTTATTAAAATTTTAGCACTTAACCTAACCAGCGCCACATAAATCCACAATTCAAACTTACAAAAACTATGAAAATTCAATAAACTGTAACAATTGCAGCCAAAAGTTGCAAACTTTTTATTAAGAATTTTTAGAAAAATTTTGTTTATGCAGTTTTGTAGCTCATTAAATTTTAGTAGTAAATCGCGTTGATTTTTAATAATTTTTTTTGCTGTTGGTGCTAGGCATTTACTTCCATACAAACGAAATTCTCGAGCATACTTTATATGGCAGAAAATCAACAACACCGTCAGCAAAAAAAAAAAAAAAATATTAAAAATCAACGCTATTTTCTAGCGTCTCTAAATTTGCACTTTAACCTGCTAAAATTTTATGAGCTACAAAACTGCACACCCAAAATTTTTCCAAAAATTTTGAATAAAAAGTTTTAGTAAGAAGTTTGAATTGTGGATTTATGTAGCGCTGGTTAGATTAAGTGCCAAAATTGTATTAAAGAAATTAAACATTAAATAAACAAAAGAAAAATAGCTAAACCTAGTCAAAATGTCACCTGACTTATCAGCTGGTCACAAGGGTATGTGCGTGGCAAATATTTTATTTACATATATATATATTTTTTTAATTGTTTGCAGTTGAATTCGATAGCGGGAAAATTAATTTTGATATTTTTATAAATTAACGCACTTTTGATAGTGTAAGGAAGCTTCATATCATTTTTGGCATATAAATTTTGTTTTTTAATGTTATTAAATATTATTTGTAGTTTTCGTATTGAACTTTCTCTTTGCCAACCCAAGCCCAAGTACATAGTTGACAACTTTTGCTATTTAGATCGTAATATATTAAAAATTATAACAACGTATAGCTTTTAGTTGTGTTCATCAAACCGAGTGTTTCGAAACCAAAACGCTATCAATATTAACGCATTCATTACTCTAATCAAAAATACGCTACTTACAAATATCCATTTGTAGGCGAGGTGGCAGGCAATATATATGTATGTTTTTTTTTTTTTGTATTGTGTGTCTATGCCATTGCGTGTCACTAAACAACCAACTAACTAACCAATTCACTCACTGCCCACACACTCAAACATTTGGCCATCAAAAAAAAATTCATTCGATTTGTATTTCTCCTTCTCCCACATCACAGCCAACTTTTGCGATCCCAAAGCACGGACCTGGTACCAATGGAAATCTACACGTACCTTAACAGACAACAGCAACAACTTAGCGCGAAATCTAGCGCTAGCGGTCTATCCATCACCGGACAGCAACTCGTCGGCGGCGGCGGAAGTGGAATTGGCGGAAACCTTAGCGGAACCAACAAGAAGATGGTCAAACAGCACAGTACGGCTAGCCAACAGTCCACATCGTCTACATCATCGTCCGTCCATTCAACCCCATCCGCACCAGCGGCTCTCGGCGCAGACGGGCATAGTGGCAACTGCGTCGGTGTTGTCGGCGGCAGCAGCGGCAAAGGGCAATCTCCCGGACGTTGGTCATCACATGAGCGCTTCTTACCAATCCATCAACAGCAGCAGCAGCAACACGAACATCAACAGCTTATATGGCAGCCACTGCAGTCTGTGCAGCAACAACAGCAACTCCAGCACAACCAGTCAATCAATCATGGACAACAACAACAGCAACAGTCAGCGCAGCAGCAGCAGCATCATCAGCATGCAAGAGATACGGAGTCGTTCATGCAGCCCCAGCACGGTGCAACTACTGGAAAACCGCCAGCAATTGGCACAATATCCTCGCAATACCAACAGCTGCCAGGCTCGCTTAGCTTGCAATCGCTGTTGGGACAGACACAACAGCATGGGAATGCCACCGCCACCACCGCCGCCACCACCACATCTACGGCAACTATTGCGTCGACACACAGTGATACCCAAATGGAGGACAAGCTGTTGCTCAACGCCGACAGCGCAAGTCTCGATGGAGGCGGCACCATCAAAAAGCGAAAGCGCCGATTGCGCTTCCCCTTCGGTGGCGGGCATCGTAAGACCGCCAGCAATGCAAGCGCCAGTAGCGGCAATGCCAGCGCCGCTTCCAACAAACATACATAGCTCTCATAGCGTTGGCTGTTTGACAACGTCCTCCAACGATTCAGGAGTAGGAGATGCAGAAGAAACGATGAGATTGAGTCGACGACAGCAAAGCAACGATGACGACAATATACCCGCTAATGTGGACAATGATAAGCATAAAAATGATAACAAGACAAATTGCAAATACGACAGCGCAGATGCAGAATCGGCTGAATCAGAGGCTGAAGCGTACTCATTGGTTACTTTGAATTTTGTCAAAAGCGCCGCAAATGCTGCTACGACTGCGCGCCTATTGAACGAGCATGACAATAATTTTAGTGATTCACAACGCGACTTAAGGAGCACTTCGACGACAAGTGACTCCATTACGATGGCCACCTAATGGGGTGGTCTACGAAATAATATGTAGTTTTTTATATGCCTACTTCAGTCTTCCATTTAAAATAGTCCAACGAAGCGAAGAATGTGCGTGCGAGTAGTTAATTTAGTAAAATATTCATAAACGTAAAGAATCAAGTGCGATCATTTCATGCATTCAGATCACCGCAGGCATGGCCTTCTTCACCCCAGAACCACGCTCCAATGCTATGTCATATCAATATCATACTTCCTCGCATTGCAATTTGGAAGAGCTCCCCATTCACTGTGAGCAAAATAATTATGGGAAGGCGCTTGTGCAAACAGGTATGGGCAAATAGTAAGAAGTATTTCTTAGAAAATTATCGAACAAGAATAATTAGGCTTTCACACATTTTCGGCCTCGTTCTTAAAGAATTGTATAGGTTAAAAAAATTTGGAAGTTTTAACACTCCAACTTTCCTTGCATCATTTTTTTAGAACAACCGGTTTTAAACTCGTAAATGATTCTAAACTAGGGCTGGGAGTTCTATCCGGATATTTCAATATTCGAATATCTGTCTAAAAAATCCAAATATCTGAATAGGGAAATTAACGGAAATTAACCGGATACTCGCATTTTATTCGCATACACCAAATATCTGAATACAGGAATAGTCCCAGTCCTATTCTAAATAGTGACCAACATAATTTTTTACATTAACTGTGAAACTAACCCAAAAAAAAAATATTAAAATAATTCATAGTTAGTTAAGAAAAAATTGAGTTTTAAAAGGCTTTCGATCAAAATATAATCCAGGGTTAGGTTGAGTGTTGAAACCCAATGCACATCTGTGCACATTTGAAGAACAACAATAACTTAAGTCGAGTTCGGCTATAAAGCGCTAAATCATTGACTTCTTTTCCAATATATATGTAGCTTCTGATTTTTATAAAATAAAAATCTAAAATCACTTAAGTGGTTTTTTTACCTCAGAGAAAGTAGCTCAGTGAAGCGAGTGCTCTCATCAGCGTTCGCCAAGCGTCAGTAGCAAAACTGTATGTAACTCTACGTTTTTACGAATTAACCCTTGTTTGTGCAAGCAAGTATATAAGACAATTAGTTTATTAGCGAACGTAGCAATTTTTGATAGCTATGGTTTTAACGTGCGATTGTTCGACTTTTTAAGTATTTTTAAATTTAATGTTTAATCCGCAAAGGGCTAATTGAGGTTTGCCCTAAGGATTTGCGCAAATTGATTTAAACTAAAACAGCTGCATACATGACACATCACTTCATTATGTACTGGGCATTAAATTGAATGATATTAAATGTAGACTTATTAATTCGCATCGAAGCAAATATGTACTCATATATAAATCGTTCCATAAGTGCCTCAGGGGAAAGATGATATTACGTACATACATATATATGTATGTACATCGTTACATACATACATACATACAGTGACTCAAACAAGTGGCCACGTGTTGATTTTTTTTTACACAATGTTTTTCAAGTTAATTTTTGTTTGTTATTTTTCTATAAAACTTCATACCAAAAAATGTTCTAAAGATTCAGATTAAAAAGCTCGAAATTTTGGTGAAAATGTGTTCATTTTTCCCAAATTTTGTATAACGTTTGAAACTTTGATTCGTATGGTTTGGCTAAAGCTTGGACAATGCTTTTATAAAATATAACAAAAAAAAATTTTTTTACTTGAAAAATGTTGTGAATATCAAAAAAATCAACACATGAACACTTGTTTACTTAGTGATTAGTAGTTTAAGTTGTGAAAAATTATTTGTTTGCATAATTCGTAAAAGTTTATTGTTTAGTGGCATCTGACTTAACCATATTTGATACCGTGAAGCGGGCAATACAACACAATACACAGACTCAGAACCCTAATGAAGAAGTGCTAATTTTATGCTTCACTTGTTTATGGCTTCCCTTTTTCGATTCGGCTAGCTCGTAAATCAAGTTTTCAATACAGTTGAAAACATAAGACCCCGTACTGAATCAGCCAGCTTAGAAAAACCAATTCAACGACGCAAAGTGGTCTAGAAAACTGGCTAAAATATGTACAGTGAAGTAAACTTGTTTTGTAATGATCAGCGATAAATTGCCATTTTTCCTGTAGGATTTTGCAGTTTTAGCTCTAGTTTTCGAGATATTTAAGATGAAAAGTCTCAAAAAACGCATTTTTGTAATTTTTTGAACACTTATAATTGAATTGCGATGTAATAAGGAATCCTTTGAACAGCACAAAAGGAAAGCGTAAATATTATTATATTATATCATAAAAGATAAAAATAGGATCCGCAAACATTAGGTAAAAAATAGTTTTAAAATAAAAACATTGCCAACGCAACCTGAAATATCCTCTTATTTTTGTATCACTCCTTACCAATTTTTAAACTTTCAAGTGCAAATAAGACCTCTCAACGTAAGCTTCCAATTCTATCAATGAAAACATAAAATACGTGCCTAGATGTAATAAATGGTGGGATTTATTATTCTTCGAAGGGGTACATTAGAGTGCATCACCAAAAGATACAAAATTCCAAGATACTTAAACTTTTCCAATTTTTCAAGAATTTTCATAACATTTGAGCTTTTAAAAGCGAACTTAAATGGATTTGATAAAAAATAAAACGGTTTGATTTAAAAATATGTTTTAATTTCTCTGGTATAAGGATCTTCTGGTTTTTAACTTTTGAGCTAAAACTCCAATATTTCAGCTTTCATTTTATACTGTTCAAAATATTTTATTCCACATCTTCCTATAGAAGTGCAAATAATGCTAAAAATCCGGCTTTTGACACCTTAAATCTCAAGTATCTAAAAAACCAAAGCCAAATGAAGGATAGAATTTTGATTCTACGAAAAAAATCCTAGAATAACCAGTGATTACTGGTTGTGCTGTATGCAGTTTTTAGAACTTCGTTGAGCTGTGTAATCGTGCATATATTTTTCCTTACATAATCGTTTGGAAAACCGTTTTTTTGCTCCGAAGAGACCGTTAAAACAAAAAAAAAATTTCTTGTTCTTAAGTTAAACGTACTCAAACAATTATTCGTTACGCTCTTGCTGCAATTTTTTTACTGGAGAAGTTACTATACAGACCTAATGTCAACACTCAGTTTGGCAAAATTAGGAAAAAAGTTGTTTCTGATCATGAACATGAATTCGTATTGTAAAATTTGATCCATACAAATGATTGTTCAGAAAAGAGGTTTTGGTTTAAAACTCCTTCCGAGCTTTTTACTTAACAATCATACAAGGTATGCTACAATCAATATCGGTGCTTTATAAGTTATATCTTCCTTCCATTACACTAATCCTGCAGATCGGAGAGTTTGTAAAATGGCTCGTTCGAAAATTATCAAAATCGATGATCTACATACATATAAGGTATATTTCTCATACCATTGATTGCTCAGATAAGAGCTTTTGTGATGGACTTCACGAAATAAATTGCTCTAGAAACACACCTTCCTCATATTGCCAACTGGGTGGTTAAGTAAAAAAAAATGTTTATGAAAATAAATCCAATATTTTTTATATATCCATACATTAGGGGGGATCACTCTCCATACAAAAACCATCGGTACTATTTTTCCAACGAAAATATGAAACTTATTGTATTTGAAGACGTCCACCAAAATATTTCGAAAAAATATTAAGATTTACGTGAGCTAGACCTATTTGAAAATACATACCTCCAAAAATCGAGTTTTTTTTTTAATAAAATTACTTTTCAGAAATATTTGATTGCAAATCAACTCAGATGATAGAAGAGTTTAAGCTTAAAGGCCTCCACAAAAGTGTTTAAAAAATAAAAATTTTATCAATGGATTCAAAATAATGAGATTTTTAGAGTTGTTATCAAATCTTTCTAGCTCACTTAAATCTTAATATTTTTCCCAATTATTTTGGCGGAAGCCTTTAAATGTAATAAATTTTACAATTCAGATGGAAAACTGCCCCTTTTTTGATGATTCATCCAAATTACTAGCACATGAGTCGAAAACGTGAAGCGAAATAAAAAGGTAGCCAATTAGTCCTTTGATGTAATAGGCTATGAGAGTTTTGAATAAATAAATGCACTGTGTTCCGAGTCTCTTATATTTTGACCTATGTTTTGTATTTGCATAATTGCTTATATTTTTTATTATGCATAATTGGACTGATATTTCTTGGCTATGAAAGTTATTATTGCTGTTATAATTAATCTTTGGTTACTTATACATATAAGGCCGTCATCTTTGAAAAAGGTCCTAAATGGCAACTTTGCAAAGCAAAAATGTTCTGATATGTTCATACATAAGTACATATACATATGTTTACATAATATATATATGTACGTAACAATATAGCGCACGTTTAAGAGTAAAGGGAATTATTTACAAATTTTAATTTTGTGAGTAAACGCAATCAAAGTTTGATCAATTCATATATGTACTATGTATGTATGTATGTATATGTTTAGTTGGTATATATAATTGGGATGGCAAGACACATATCTTCGCCATTTTTTTCAGAGTTTAGTTATCTGTTAGACCAAACATATTCTCCTTATCAAGCTTATTAATTGTATGATAAAATCTCCAGAAACGAAAATTTTTAATTAATTCTCTATACTATTAAACGTGCGATATTAAATGCTGAAGTGAACTTTTTTATACAGCTAATAACACTCGTTATTTTTAAATATGGGCTGCTTTGACTTTATCCCGAAAGTTTATGTGAGAGCATCTAACGGAATATTGAAGAAAAAAACACATTTTCCAAAAATGCCAGCTTTTGCAGTGATAACAACGATACATACATACATACATACATATATATTGGTTTTTAGGTGCCTTAAGAGTCCTAGCATATTGCTGTTTTTCCTTTGTGAATGACAAAACTTATTAACACGAGGTTATTCGTATGTACATAGGTTGTACTCAGTTAAGTTTTTCATGAATAGAATTTTTAGCAAATTATTATCCATTGACATTAAATGGTAAACAAAATTTAAATGTTTTGTATCTAAAATTAAATAATCGAAATAAAGCTGTGGTCAAAGACATTTTTAACGCGCTACAGCTCACAAATAACTAATAACCGCAATTTTGTTTGTTTGTTTTTTCGTACGGAGACTGAGGCACCTTAATGAAGATATGTTAATATACCTTGAAGCTGTGTGAAAACGTACAGACAAACTGGCGTCAAATATTTACTTAATTTGGTATTAATTTCATACATTACCTACATACATACATAAATATTAGTATATGCATCTACCTAATAGCAATACATATGTATTTATAAAAACGTTTAGCGATATACTTAAAAAAATATACAAATGTACGTAAGTACATATATATTCATACGAAAAAATGAGTATAGCAATAATAGTATTAATTTATAATGCGA